CTACTGCTACTGCTGCTATTACTGCTTCTATACTACTGTTACTACTGCTATCTAAAGCTACTACGACTACGTTGCACCTGCTCCAATTATTGCTATGATTGTCTGGCCCTCTTCCTCACACATCGATCGGCACAAGCGCAAAATGCTCCTGATGCTCCTAGGCACCACACCCCCGACGAAGCCTGATATCAAAATCCTCGAAACCTACATCTGGTGCCCGCGCTCATCAGCAAAACACAACAACTCGAAAGCTTGCTATGCCCGAGAGAACTCAATCATGAAGCCAGAACCCCAAACACTCCAAAGTCACGACTCCGGTTAGGGGGTATAGTATATATTTTAAAGAGGAGCCCGAAGGAAAAGAGTTCAACCCTACACCCTATACCTTAAAACTCCATAACCTTCACCCCAAACCCTACACATCCTAAACCCGCCGAGCTAAACTCTACAGTGTTGGTCACTGGGCGTTTTGGGCGACACGGCCTTCGCTCTTGCAAGGGCCTGGGGCCGAAAAAGGAAGCTTCCAAAGCGGCTTCGCAGCCTCCGGCGAGCTGCTGTAGGGCCCTTTTTAAGGGCTCCTTCAAGGTATCCTTAAAAAGAATCTATAGGGTTCTTTTAAGGGCTCCTTTAAGGGATCCTGTAAGGGTTCCTTTAAAGGGATCTATAGGGTTCCTTTAAGGGCTCCTTTCAGGGTTCCTTTAAGGGATCCTTAAAGGGATCTATAGGGTTCCTTTAAGGGCTCCTGTATGGGATCCTTTAAGTTTGCCTTGAAAGGGATCTATAGGGCACCTTTAAGGGATCCTTTATCCGGGTTCCTCTAAAGGGATCTATAGAGTTCCTGTAAGGGATCCTGTAGAAGGGTTCCTTTAGGGGCTTAAGGTTCCGGGTTTACGGGATCTGTTTTGGGGCAGGTGTTCCGTGAGCTGTTTTGGCCCCCTGTTAGGGTTCTACCCAGGAAAGGATGTTGTACATCAGCGACATGTGCAACCCGGTGAGCAGCTTGTACTCGTGGGCGTCCACTCGCTCCACCACCTCCTCTGGAAAGTTCTTGATCCGCACGAACCTGTGGTAGGTAGACTCCATGGCGGTGCTTGCTTCGGCCATTTCGTCAGCTATGCCACTCTCACCAACCGCGGGGAGCTTCCCAACACAGGCTAGCTTCAAAAGCCAGTACAAGTCGGAGTCTGAAAGCTGTGCGACCTTTTGGCCAGGCATTGTTGCCTGATTGTTGTGATCTGGCTCCCGTTCCAAATCTGCTTGGGGCATGTTGAAGGTGTCCCGGCTGTTCAGCAGGCTCGTCGTTGAGCCAGCGCCGCAGCCGCGACCATCCTTGCCACTTGCCGCCTTTGCGACTTCTGAAGCTGCGCCGGCGGCCCTTGCCGAGCTCCCCCGGGCCCGGCATGCCGCCATTTAGAGAATATATATATATATATATATATATATACATATATATATATATATATATATATTATTATATATACATATATGAGCATATGATGCACCCCTTGCGCCTATGGGTCACAGAAGTTGTCGTCCGACTATATGCCGTTAACATCCAAGGGATGTTTGACACCTGGGGTCTACACAAAGAACTGGAAAAATGTATCAAGAGCTGGCAAGACCCTTCTCATGGGAATTCTTCAAGCTTTCTAAAAGCGAAAGTTGACAATTTAAACTTTAAACACAGAAGATTCGAACATCTAGACCCTAAACCAAACTCGCGATCCCAACGGGCCAATCCCAAAATGGCCTAAAACCCCAAACTCCACCCCAAAACCCAAAACCCTCCAAGCCCGAGGCCCCAAACTAGAGCCTCCATTCCTCAATCTAACATGCGACTTAGGGTTTAAGGCTGACGGGGTTCAGGGTTTAGGGTCTGATTCTTAGGGGCAGCTCTCTGACTTAGGCTTGCCCCCTTTAAGGTCCCCATAAAAGGAACCCTAAAAGGGACCCTATGTTAGAGAACTACCTTAATGGAACCCCTGTTAAAAAAAAAAAAACACGAATAACCCCCTGAACCAAAAACCTGCTAAACTCCTGATAGCAACTCTAAGCCGACAGAGCCCTTCTTAGAAACAGGACCTCATATGGGAGTTTCCGAAAATAGGGGACCCTAATGTAGTACCCTAAATAGTAGGACCCTTATTATGAGGACCCCAAAATAAGGTACCCTAATTTTTGGAAACTGCCATATAAACCCTGTACTTCTAATTGCTCCCAAAGCAGTCTTGGCCTGCACGCTTACTGGGTGGCAAGGCGACCTTGCATGTGCTCTCTTCCGGCGGCTGGGAGGTCTATGGGGTTGGGTTATATAAAACAGGAGGGAGGGAGAGAGAGAGAGAGAGAGAGAGAAAGACATGACACATATATATATATATATAGAGAGAGAGAGAGATAGAGAGGAGAGAGAGAGTTTAGAGAGAGAGAGAGAGAGTACGACACTCATGCAAGTGTTCTCTATAAGGATTATTTCAAGAGTTGCTCTCTGGAATCCCGCGAATCGTAATAGTCACAGCTCAGCAGTGGCATGCAGTGTAGGACCTGAAACATCATGACTGTCAGTTGTCGCTGCTGATGTGGTAACGATACACGCCCGTTGGTATCCTCTTGATAACGTTCGAATGTGCTGTACGATGTGTTACCAACTTCATCAGCGAGGTTTTGCTAAGATAGGTCGTATTATTAGGGGTACCCCTTAAAGGGTACCCCTTCTGAACCCTACTTTTGGCTCTCTTAACAGGGACCTTATTGAGAGGGTCTATATCCCCAAGGGTCCCCCTAATCCTGGCTCCCATAAGAGCCCAGCAAGCTGATCCACCAGGAACATCCCCTCCACGCCGAGGGTTTTCGCAGTCGCAATTAACTGCCTCAGACGATACTTCCGGTTGGCAGGATTCCAGGTTGAAGGATCTGGATCTACGATTTGTGGCTTAAGATCTTCATTTTTGTAGGTAAGGAAAGGGAACCCAAAACCCTAAACCCTACAGGGGGTTAGGGTTTGCGGTTTCGGGCTTAGGGCTACAAGGTTCTAGGGTTTTTGGCGGCCGTAGATTCATAGGAGCCTTCTTTTACGGGAAGCCTGAGTCGAAGACTTGCAGACTTGGAGCATTGCTACTCCGACCTCTGCAAACCGCAATCTCAGTCTTCGCGGTTTAGGGTTTAGGGGGTTAGGGTTGATGGGCTTACAAATTGCGGCCTGGCAGAACTAGAGCTCACAACGTAAAGCTGCAAACCAACTACTGACGCTGAGCCCCAAGCCACAAAGAATTGAATACGGCTTAAGGTTTAGAGTTTCGGGTTTAGGAGTTATCTACGAGTTCACTGCTACTGAACGAGCTGCCCTTGTCACGAAGATTTGCCGGGAAGCTGCGATTCGATTGGGGCGAATTGAGGGTTTCGGGCTAAGGGCAGTTTAGGACACAGGTGCTTAGGGTATAGGGGATCACACGATAAGGTTTAGGTGTAGGCCGGAGGGACCTGCACGTTGTTCAGCTGCCAGCAAGTGTTGTACACGCCAGTACTGTTTCGAGTTCTGTGTTGGCTGGAGGGCAAAATTGGAAGGAGGATCGAGCTTCGAGCTGGACCTTCTTTCTCAGTTTGCTCTGTGGCAGATGCCTCGTCCGGGAAGCGCAGGACTACTGCTCTGCTTCTGCTGCTGATGCTGTTGATGCTACAACAACGACAGGACAAAGACTACGCACAACAAACTCTACCCACGTACGACAACTGCTATCACTACTTGGAGGGTCGGGAGACTTGGTAAGTAGGTCATAAGTAGACTTATACGTACCCTAAAAGCCCCGACCCTCCAAGTACCACTGCTATTCCTTCGACTCCATCTACTCCTACGACCACGAACACTCTCAGTCCTGTTGCTGCTGATCCCACTGCAGCTGCTGCACCTACTACTGCTGCTCCCCGCTCTCCCACTTTAACTCGTAGCACTACTGCTGCCACTGCTTCTACGACGACGACTACGACGTCTACTACACTGCTGCTACTATCAGGACGACAGCTCCCGCGAACACCTAGTCTGCATGGCGGCGGTGGTCATGCAAGTGGTGATGATGCTGGCTCAAACATCTTCACGACTGTTCTGCTACAGCTTCAAACAAATACTTAGACTCCCACTCCAAGATCTCATTGCGATCTGGGCCAGCCTGATGCGATGCTTATTCGGGTCGGGCTTTGGCCTTGAAGGGCTGAGACATATGGGTAGTTCTCTAAACGAGGGTCCCTTTTTGGGTCCCCAATATAGCACGGCACCCTTACAAAAGGGACCCCAAAATAGAAGGGACACTCTTAGAAAACTACCCATATCATTTTGGACCAGAGGCCTGATTTCAGTTCTACATTCAGCTCTGAACCTGTACATCCCGTCAGAAATGCCCTAAACCCTAAACCCTCCAAAAAAGGGAAGCTACAGTCCTCTGGCACCTCTGGCCCAAGCAGATCCGAATGGTCCTTTTCATTTTCCAAAGAGCCATGCTGTGCGCATAGCGACTACGACACCAGAAGATATCAACTGCTTCAAGCAGTGTAATGTAGGGGCCTTAGTAGTTTCAATAGGGTTTTGGGGGTTCCTTATCCTAAGTATAGTATAATATACCCCCAACCCTATTCTAATAATTGTTGCCCCTATATTAAGTCTCAGGGCCGGGGGCAAGGATATGATCTGCTGCCATGCCGAAGGCATGGGGTTCGAAGGTGTCGACTGCTTTAAGGAGGGTCCAAACTCAAAGAGGCAGACATGAAAAGAATCACGAAATATTAAGAGCCTTAATAATTCGAATCGTGTTGCGGGTATACTATATACTATATTCATACTACGCCCCAAAATAGAACTGGTAGCTATTTAGGCCCCTATATAGCCTCAGTTCTCAACTTCACTTTCGGCCTCTCAACCTCCGAACCCAAAGCCGACCGGAACACCAAACCCTTCTTTTGGAGAGAAGTGCAGGGCGGGGAAAAACCTCTACACCTGTAGTCTCCATTGTAGTTCCTTGTGGGGGATACCTTACAAAATCCTTAATATATTAATATATAATTGGTTAAACCAAAAAAAGGAACTACAATGGAGACTATAGGTACAATCCCAATAGACAAAGGTCTTGAGTTCGACTTCTATTTACAGAGGGAGTGAGTATCCTAGCACGCAACAGTAAAGGGTTACGCCTTCAATTCTGGTAGAGTCTTATGAGGACCCTAAACCCTAAACCTTAAACCCTATAAAGCCGTGCTCCAGGTTACCTGCCCAGCCCTCAAGATTTGGCCCAACAGACTGCAGAACCCCAACCTCGCAGCCTGCATACGCTGACACGCGTCTGCGTGTCCGACCGCGTTTAGATCGACCGCTTTTAGATCGGGTTGAGGGTTTCCACGTTCATTCTCTTCTTCCATACCCGCGCTCGAACAAGTTCAATCTTTTCAAGATAAACCAAACCTACAAGGCCAATACATCAAATCTCCCCCAGTTCTCCCGTTGGCTTTCTAAGCTAAGCAGCCTCATTGACTGTCTGACTTCTTGCCAGCAAGCCTCACGGCCTCACTTTACTGCAAGTCTAATCAACCCTTGGTAAGAGCAAGTCTTTGGGGGTTGTGCAGCAGTCCCCTCTATATGGAAGCTAAAACACCTCACCCCTAACCCCCAAACCCTAAACCCCTAAACCCCAAACCCTGAACCCGTAAACCCGAAGCCCCTAAACCCTAAACCCTAAAGTCCAGGGACTGCATTTCAGGGTTATGCGGTTTGGGGGTGTAGGTTTTTGAGGTCTTTCTACATTTAACAATGCTTGACCAAGGTCTACGGAGGAATACATACCTGAGACCAAAAAGCTGCCTTAACCCTATACGCCAAATCTTCCCAGAGGAGCATCCAACTCTTTTGTCTGTCAAGATCCGTTGAAACCCACCCTCAACTCAACTCCTACGACTTAGACTCCTATCCGTTATATACCTAAACTGTAGACCCTAAACCCTAAACGCAACGCTGTCCCACCTGCCGCAGCAACGAATCTTGGTCTGCATAGGTCGTGAAGCTCGTCCGACACGCTCCGCGCGCCACCTGTTGTCGGAGCATCTCGCGTATGAATAGATGATTCATAACCATGGAACTGACAGCTAAAGCACTCTTGCCAGGCAAGTGCTGCTAAAAACCGGGCTAGTTCCGCACCCAATGCCCAATAATATAAGAATGGGTACATTCACCGAGATTAAAGAGGATCAATCTTACACCGACCATGGTTTGGAGCAAGCCACCAAGTGTCAGCTTAAGAGTGGAAGCGCTCTGGACCGCGAGCCCCTACAACAGGGGCAGAAAAACAAAAATTGAGCAGTGGTATCCTCCTAATCCCTAAGCATCTATACTACATACGTCAAAGCCTCCACTCCTGAACCCGGTAGCCTGACTCCTCTGAACTTTGAGTTTTCCACTTACAGGTGCCGGAACTAAGCCTTATACATCCAAAAGCCTATGCCCAGATGTAAAAACCCTAAACCCGCAACTCCGAGCCCCCAACCCCTAAACCCTGAGTCTTGAAGTAACCCCGCCCTACCCCGAAATAGTAACCCTTTTCGGAACCCACATCCTAAAACCCGAAACCCACGGCTGCCTGAGAGAGGTCGAATCTCTCGTAGTGTGGGAATTTCGCAGAGTAGTGCTTCGTGCACACGAACTGGCATGGTTTAGCGGCGAGTTTAGGGTTGAGGCTGTAGGGTTGGGAGAGACGGCTCTTAATATGGCATATATGTACATCTAAACTCTCTCTTTCTCTCTCTCTTTCTATATATATACATACATATATAGATATTTATTTATTTATGCATATGTATGTATATCTATATGTATAGTCTACTGTACAGGGTTTCGGGCTCCTAAGCCTGAGTTCAGGGGCCCTACATTCCAGGTTTGTTCCGGTTTTCTCAGGCTTTATAGGCTTAGGGATCCCGGAAAGTCGAAGAAGTCTCTTGAAATCCACAGGGTCATTCACCCATGCCTTCGTCCGATTATAGGGTTTAGGGTTTAGGGTTTCGGGTTAGGGTTTAGGGTTTAGGGTTTAGGGTTTAGGGTAAGCTAGGCTTACGGAGGCTCACAAGACTAGGCACTAGGACTGCAGCTTCTGAGCCCAAGGCTTCCTTGCAAAACGAGACTCGGGGTTTAGGGTTTAGGGTTTAGGGTTTAGGGTTTAGGGTTTAGGATCAGAAGCAGGGCTCCTCTACTGGCAGCAACATCGAGTCTAAGTATCTCGGGTATAGAGTGGCCGCCGCAATCGACAGCAGGAGTCAAGTGATCAAAAGTAATGATTATAATTGCACGCATTAAAAGTAACACTTACGGGAAACGTAAATATTACTCACGCAATTGCTAGTAACACAGACAGGTGCCGTTGAAACCTCCGCAATTCCTCAATTGCAGCTCTTGTGTGAAAGATGTACCTGCTTCCCTCAGTAAATAGGATCCTAACCTAATTCAGTATCCAACTAAAAACTCCACTTCTCCAACCAAAAACTCCGCCGGAGGGTAAAGGTACCTACGGATTCTGCCGAAGAGCTTTGGGCCCCCTAAACCGTCGACCCTAAACCCTAAACCCTGTATCGGAGACCCCTAAACCCTGCAAAAAATTAGCCCCGACCTCCGGCCACGTCTCCACCGTTGGCGTTCCAACGACGCCTGGGCAAGCAGCACATATTGTGGGTTTGCCGTTTAGGGTTTAGGGTTTATAGGGTCATAATAATAATGACAGAACCGTGGTAGTAGCTATTCATGAACATTGCGATGATAGGCTGTACAGGTACTTTCTGTTGACGACACTACACATGATCTGCATCCTTGAATCCTTGAAGGGGCAGCAGCAGCAGCAGCAACAGCAGCAGCAGCAGCAGCTCGGAAGTACGGTGTGGAGAGCAGCAACAAGCAGAGGTAGTAGCAACGAGAGAGTAAGAAATAGTGGGCGCCGGAGAGGTAGAAGCAAAACTGTGACATATTCAGTCTGATTTACATCTAACCCAAAGGGTTCAAGTACTAGTATAGTATGTACTTTGGGGGCCCAAATACCTACTAAGTACCTACTATAATGGTCCTTGGACCCTTTGGGTAAATGCTGGAGTGACAGGAGCAGTTTCCAAGCCATCTTTGCTCTCACTTCTTCCACTCGCGAGGGGTTGGGGCTTGAGCCTTGCGGAAATCCGAGGATTCAAGCCACTATAAATCCCGAAACCCCCTTAAACCGAAAACCTCTAGGCTTCTGAGCCCGTATGACCCTCAACCCCCAAGCCCCACAGTTCGTAAAAAAAACAGCGGTGCTACTTCTCGGCCCAGGCACGGAAGACGCGAAAGAGATGGTCAATCTCACCATCAGACCTTGGGACTGGGACTCTTGGCTTTAACGGTCCCATGTACCGATACAGCCCTAAACCCTAAACCCTAAACCCTAAACCCTAAACCCTAAAGGGTTCCTTTCAGGGATCTTTGTCTATGCGGATGTGGCGAGATTACTGTAATGTAAGGAGTTTGAAGATGTTTAACAAACCCTAGACCGTAAACCCTAAACCCTGGCAGATCCCTAAACCGGCTTAAAGGGAATCCAGGACAGGTACTTTGGGGCCCAAGTACCGACTATGTAGGCACATGGACCCATAAGGTTTGGAGCATAGAGATCCGGTCAAGGTCGGGATTTGGCCTAAGGCTGGAGCATCTCTCTGGCTCTCTCTGTCTCTCTCTCTCTCTCTCCATCTCTTTCCCTCTCTATCTCTCTATATATATTTATTTCTATATCTATACGTTATGCACGTAGGTAGGTATGTAGGTTTGTGGGTAGGTACGTGGGTATGTAAATATGACTATGTAGGGCTTTAGGGTCCAGGACTTAGTTGTGGCCCACTGTTGGTGAGAACATTAAACCCTGCATGAAGCGGGGACCCAACAGCCTGACGTTCGTTCGACCTGCAATAACACCCTTTACACGAGCCACTATGATGTGTTTCTCGTTGTTGTTGTTGTTGTACTACCACTACTGCAGCTATCTTGGACGTGGAACCGAAACCCTTATCAACAATAACCAACAAAGAACAGCTACAACTTAGAGCACCCATCGAAACCCTGCAACCGCTGCTGCATCAGCATCGCCATGCCCACCGCTGGCAGCAAACACAACACGGTCAATTTAAAGCATGCAGCTTGAAAATACGACCTCCTCTGCTGATCTGAAGCCGGGCCATACAGGCCATGCAAACCTTCTTCGAGCTGCTGATCCTTGTCTGTTTTCTGTGCATATGAACAATGCGGGATAGACAACCCTGGGTTACGAAGATGCTGTGTGATGCTACCTGCCAGGTCTGACAATCCTTTTTCACAAATGTTGTTGCCCGGTCCTTACTGTCTACTGGGCTACTCCGCCCTCAGCCCTGTAGGGTTCACATTCCGAACATTATGGGCGCAATATAGGGGCTTTAATAATTAGGATAAGGTTTGGAGGCATGTGATACTATAGTTAAAACAAGGAACCCCAAAGTAGTATTGGTAGTTATTTAGACCGCTATAGTAGGCGCGTAGCTGGAAGAGCGACTTCCCGGATGCTGCCTCAACGAGCAGGCACCTTAGCTTGGCTGCAGAATATGGGCAGCTCCCATACAGGATGATGCTTGCACAAGAAAGACGCCAATGTCATGGGACTCCTAGTAGCAGCAGTGGCAGTCTCAGCAGCAGCAGCAGCAGCAGCAGCAGCAGCAGCAGCAGCAGCAGCAAGAGGAAGTGGTGGTGGTGGTGGTGGTGGTGGTGGTGGTGGTGGTTCGTAGTAGCAATACGAGTAGTACGAGCAGTAGTCATAGTGGTAATAGTAGTAGTCGTCGTCGCCGTAG